AGTCATTCCAGGTCATGGTTGCCCCAAAGGTGCTTTTTCAAGAAGCATCTGGACTTTCTGGTTTCGCTTCTCACCCAAGAAACTTCTTCATCTCTTCTCAGTGCTGAAGAAGCTTCTTGGATGAGAAATGCAATGTCTTCAAAGAAAAACCAGAAAATCCAGTTGCCTCTTGAAAAAGCAGTTTTGGGACTCCTATTTATTTATTAAATTTATATGCCGCCCATCTCATTATTAACTGACTCTGGCTAGCTGAAAGTCCTGTTTCTAGGAAAAGCACCTCACAGTTGCAGTACATTGCCTGGTTTCACGATCAGCATACACCAAATTTAGTTACTGACATGCATGTGTTTGCTGCCTATTCATACAACTCCAGGGCCAGAACATCCTAGAACATTCAATTCACATTCTGGCCAGGCCAATTCATACATCTGTTCCTAGAATGATCTGGGGGTTTTCTGCATGTTTATTCTTCTGGTTTTGGGATTAAATTCTGGAAAACTGGTTTCATCTTCATCAACCGGGCCTAATGGGGGAAACAGCAGTTCTACCCATGGTGGGCTTTGCCCGTTCTTCTTTCCTCATCAGATACATTTCCCAAACTTTTAAAAGCCAACAAGAAGAGGGTTGGATACACACCATATAATAACCCGGAAGAAGTTTCTGGAGGAATTCTGCCTCTTTGTGCATCACAGTCTTGATGATGAATTCATCGTCGCTGGTGACATAGAAGAGGGAGCCACTGGCCCCAGGATTGGAGAGTTTCGATCAGCGGCTCGTTGCACAAGGAATACTGAGAAGGCAAGAAGATTTCAACCACAGGTGGGAAACAAAGTCAGTAGGCTTCTCTCCCCACGTGCCCATCCCATCTGAAAAGCCCTGACCCATGCACTCCATAGGTCAGGGGTCCCCAACTTGTGGGCCTCCGGCCCACTACCAGGCTGTGGCCTAATCCCCACCGGGCCACGTGAGTGGCCGGCCTGAGCAGGCCGCCCCACTCGTGCAAGTCTCATCAGGGGCATCTGCGGCCCCACTCACACCGAGCCTCGTTGCGAGTACTTGTGGCCCCACTTGTGTGAGCATCGCCATGGACATTGTGGGCGCTCGCACACATGCCCCTGCTCCTCCCACAAAATCAATCCCCTCTCCCCTTACCCCCTCCCCCAACCTGGAAAGGTTGGGGAACTCTGCCATAGGTTACTGGGCAATGCATCCTAACCCCAATTCAGGTAGTCCTTAACTTACAACCATTGGTTAGTGACCATTGAAAGTTACAACTGCACTGAAAAAAGTGACTTCGGACCAATTTTCACACTTACAGCTGTTTCAGCATCCCCCCAGTTCACACGATCAAAATTTGGGTGCTGGGCAACTGACATGTATTTATGACAGTTACACTATCATGGGTAGTGCGATCATGATTTATAACCTGCCCAGCTGGTTTCTGATAGGCAAAATCAAAGGGGGGAGCCAATTCGCTTAACGACCACATGACTAAACAAGTGCAGAAATTCACTTAATTTATATTTTGATAAACCAATAAAAGTTACTAATGGCAAAGAAAACCTCATGGCTACATGGCCCCTTGTGGAGAGCCTAGCCCTAGAGCAATGATGGCGAATCTTTTCAGCACCGAGTGCCCAAACCGGAACGTGCGTGCATGTGTGCGCGTTGAACCACCGGAAATCTGAAGAGTAGCTGGCTGGCACACACATGCCTGTTTTTTGGCTGTTTTTCGGGCCCGAAACAGCCTGAAAAACAACCTGAAAAACGGCCTGTTTTTGGCCTTTTTTGGGCCTGTTTTCAGGCCATTTTCCGGTGCTCTGGCGCCCGTGAAGACCAGCTGGCCGGCTCACACATCCGTGCCGGAAACCAGAAGAGCAGCTGGCGATGGCACGCGTGCCCACAGGTAGGGGTCTGTGTGCCACCTCTGGCACGTGTGCCATACGTTTGCCATCATTGATGCCCTAAAAGCCTTCCTTCCTACTTTCAATTAATTTTAACAGTGTGAAATCATCCTTGCCTCTTTTACATTTTTCACTTTAATATACTGTTTTTATATTTGAATATTTTATTATATACAGGTAGTCCTTGATTTACAACAATTCAGCTAATGGCCGTTCGAAGTTACAATGGCATTGAAAAAAGTGACGTAGGACCATTTTTCACACTTATGACCGTTACAGCATCCCTGTGGTCACATGATCAAAATTCAGACGTTTGGCAACTGGCTCGTATTTATGACGTTTGCAGTGTCGTGGGGTTGCATGTGATCCCCCTTTTTCAACCTTCTGACAAGCAAAGCCAACGGAGAAACCGGATTTACTTAACAACCGTGCTACTAATTTAACAACTAGAGTGATTCACTTAACATATGCGGCAAGAAAAGTTGTAAAATGGGGCAAAATTCACTTAACAAATTTCTCACTTAGCAACATAAATTTTGGGCTCAACTGTGGTCATACGTTGAGGACTGTTGTACCGCCCAGAGCCCCTGCATGAGGGAGATGGGCAGTTTAAAAATATGAAAAATAAAATTAAATAAATAAATATATGCCGGTTGCCAAGCATCCAAATCAAATGATTTGCTTAACGACCGGGGTGATTTGCTTAACGACTGCAGCAAAAGAGGCATAACATTGGGCATAACTCACTTAATGACCGCATTGCTCAGCAATTGTCACGTGGTCATAAGTCAAGGACTACCTATGGTCTTACAACTCCCATCATCCCCAGCCATTGCAGTCCCTGGGGAGGAAGATCACACTACGCATCTCCGATTTGGACTCGCGCTCATTTACCGAGGGTGTAATATGTTAGGCTAATTCTTTACAGAGACAGATTTAGCTGCGACTGGGGATCTGAGCGACACCTAAATCTGTCACTGCAAAGAATTGGCTGAATCACTGCGAAGAATTAAATGCTGATGAGCTTTCAACACAATGGCCTCTCATTTACGGCAATGGGAGCTGGCAATTTTCCAGTGGTTTCAGCTGTTCCAAATTGCATTCTCCAATATGCCTCATGTTCTGAAATCTCTCTTTAGCATCTGAGTTGGGAGACGATCCTCTCTCTCTCTCCAGGCACCCCGAAAAAGCTCCGAGAGGGAGAAAAGGGAAGTCAAGGAAGGGCACTTAAACACAATCATACCCCCCCCTCCCCTCCCAAAAAAGAGATTTAGATGCCAGGCTTTGAGCATGGCTGAAGATTTCTCCCCTCCTCCCCCTAGAAGCTGGCAAAAGCATAAAGAGATGACCGTATAAATACTGTGTTAGCCCTCCATCACTGTTATACATTCACACATTCCTCTGTCTACAGGGAATTAACATCTTTTTATTAGAAACACCTAGCTCAGGGGTGTCAAACTCAAGGCCCGCAGGCCGGATTCAGCCCGCAGGGTGGCTTAAATCTGGCCTGCGGGGCCGATCTAGAAATCGCAAAGCACCAGCCCGCGGTGCCTCTGGCAGGCAAAACGGGGCACAGGGGGGCAGCGCGTGGCCCCGTTTTTGGCCTGGGCGGTCGCCTGCCGGCCAAAACGGGATAATAGGGGGGTATATAACCCCCACCCACCCCATTTTGGCCAGCAGGATGCTGCAGGAGGCATCCACCCTGAAAACGGGGCGTGGGGGGACTGTGTGAGGCCCTCCTGTGCCCCATTTTGGCCGGCAGGGTGCTGCAGGAGGTGTCCATTCCGTGACCACCCTCTCCCGGCTGGCCTACAAAGGAGAACTACAATGCTGATCCATCCCTCGAAGAAATCCAGTTTGACACCCCGGACCTAGCCCATCTGGAGGGCCCAACTGTTCCCAGAAGGGCAGAAAAGAAGCAGAATAAGCTACTGGCAGAAAAATCAGTTTGACGTAGTGGTTAAAAGCACAGGGTTTAGAAACTGGGTGACTGTGAGTTCTAGTTCCATCTTAGGCACCCAGTCAACTTGCTTTCCGCCCTAGGGTGGAGGTGACAATGGCAAACCACTTCTGAAAATGGTGCCAAGAAAACTGCAGGAGCTTGTCCGGGCAATTACCAGGAATCAAGACCAATTTAAGATATATATAAAAAGCCTTACCAATCCAAGGAACCATCTTTTCAGCCTGAGGCAAAAAAAGACATTAGCCTGGGACAGTGATCTGCATTCTCAATTTCAGGGTTTCCACAGGGTATGGAGAGTCATGATGGTGGATGGGATGGTGTGGCAAAAGCTCTGTTTTTTTATATACCGTACATAAAACATAAAAAACCAAGTGGAGCTTCAACTGCAGGATTTATTTATTTATTTATTAGTTCGATTTATATGCTGCCCTTCTCCGGAGACTCAGGGAGGCTTACAATGTGTTAAGCAATAGCCTTCATACTTTTGCATATGCCTGCTTAGTAGGGCTTTCGGGGGCCCCCCTAAGCGGTGTTCTTTTTTTATACAAAGTTAGCTTATTGTCCCCACAATCCGGGTCCTCACTTTACCTACCTCGAAAGGATGGAAGGCTAAGTCAACCTTGAGCCTGGTGAGATTTGAACTTGCAGTAATTGCAGGCAGCTGGTGCTACTTAACAGCACTTTAGTCTGCTACGCATCTAAGGCTCTGGATTGTGGTCACCATCCTGTCATTTTTGATCATACCCTATGGGTGCCCAACCTCCTTGGCTACAAATTTTCCCCTAGTGAGTTTTGCCCCATTTTATGACTTTTCTTGCCCCATTTGTTAAGGGAATCACTGCAGTTGTAGTAACACGGTTAAGTGAAATCTGGTTTCCTCGTTGATTTTGCTTGTCAGAAGGTCGCAAAAAGGGGATCACATGACTCCGGGACACTGCAGCCGTCATAAATGCGAGTCAGTTATCAAGCATTCAAATGTAAATCATGTGACCAGGGGGATGCTGAAATGATCAAAAGTGTGAAAAATTGTCGTAAGTCACCTTTTCCAGTGCTGTTGTAGCTTCGAATGATCACTAAATGAACAGTTGTAAGTCGAGGACTACCTGTTACTCAAAACCGCCTGTGTGACTTACGTGTCATCCGTGTCAATGGGTTCCCCTCGAGCAGCCCCGCCCTGGATCGACTCCATGGCGGTGGAATAGAGAGCCTTCTGTCCCACGGGGCGTTTTTCATCAGACATGCTTTGGGCACCGTCAACCTGTCGTTCCCGTTCCAGCTGGTCTATGTTGTGCACCCCAAGGAGCAGGCTGTAGTCCATGATTTTGAAACTCTCCAGCACCTGAAGGTTATGGGAGAAAAAGGAGAAACTACATTAAAAGCCAGGGAGGGGCTAACACTTGCTAGGTGAACAGCTCTTAGAATAACTTTATTGTCCCTTTGAATGTACACTAATTGGCGTACATTAAAATTAAATTGTGTTGCATACAGCTCTCAACATAAACATAAATAAATACAAAATTAGGCATATACCCATATATATTATATGACACAGAACAGTGGTGAAATGTAAAATTTGTTACTACCTGTTCTGTGGGTGTGGCTTGGTGGGGGGGGGGATGTGACTGGGTGGGTGTGGCCAACATTTTTTTTTTTTTTAACCTTTAAAAGCTTTTTTTCTACTTTTTTTGGAAAAAAAATTTTTTTTTTTTTTTTTTTGCTTTTGAAAGAAAAAAAAGCCTCTGACGATCAGGCAACTCAGCTGGGATCGTCAGAGTCTTTTAAAAGCATTTTTTTTACAACCTCTTCAGCTGAAGAGGTTTTAGAAAAAATGCTTTTAAAAGTTTTTAAAAAAGCCTCTGATGATCGCGCAGCTCAGCTGGGCATGAGGGGGGGAGGGATTTTTGCTACCAGTTCTCCGAACCATCCACCGCCATCGCTCCCGGATCAGGCAATCCGGTCCGAACCAGAAGCATTTCACCCGACACAGAAACAACACAGTCTAGTTCAGATGTATGTCACGGAAGTGAGTACACCCCCTCACATTTTGTAAATATTTAAGTATATCTTTTCATGTGACAAAACTGAAAAACTTTTCATGTGACAAAAACTGAAGAAATGACACTTGGCTACAATGTAGTGATTATACAGCTTGTATAACAGTGTGAATGTGCGGTCCTCTCAAAATAACGCAACACACAGCCATTAATGTCTAAACTGCTGGCAACAAAAGTGAGCAGTTTAGACGTTAATGGCTGTGTGTTGCGTTATTTTGAGGGACGCACATTTACACTGTTATACAAGCTGTATACTCTCTACTTTACATTGTAAAGTAATGTCATTTCTTCAGTGTTGTCACATGAAAAGATATACTTAAATATTTACAAAATGTGAGGGGGTGTACTCACTTCTGTGACAGACTGTCTATATGGCAAAAAGAAAGAATCCTGTGAGTTCATCAGGGAACCTAGGGAACAAAGCTGTTACAGAATCTGGTAGTCCTGCTAGAAATACTTCAAAACCTCCTCCCAGAGGGGAGCAACAGAAACAGTCCGTGAAGGGGGTATGTGGGGTCTCTAACAATGTTTCGAGCTCTAAGCATATAGCGCTTATAAGCAGTATCCTGAATAATGGGAAGTGAGTTTCCAACGTACGACCACAATTGACCCCAGATTTCTGTTGTTAAGTGAGACATTTGTTAAATAAGTCTTGCTCCAATTACAACCTTTCTTGCCACATTTAAGTAAATCACTGCAGTTATCAGGCTAGTAACGAGGTTGTTAAGTGAATCTTATTTCCCCATTGACTTTGCTTGTCAGAAGGTCACAAAAGGAGATCCCATGACCCTGGGAAATTGCAAATGTCATAAATATAAACTAGTAGCCAAGTGTCTGAATTTTGATCAGATGACCATGCGGATGCTGCAACAGTCATAAGTGTGACAAACGGTCATAAGTCGCTTTTTCCAGTGGCGTAACTTCAAACAGTCACTAAATGAACTGCTGTAAGTCAAGGACTACCTGTATTTCTCTCTCCTCCTTGCTGGGTTGTTAACAATAGATTACTCTGAGCTCAGGATAGCCGGTCACCTCTTTGGACTTACCAAACAGTCCCTCTGCAGTGTCTTCACCAGAGCGCTGAACGTGTCTATGTCCAGCATGATGCCCTCGGGCATATCCTGCATGAAGTCCAAATCTTTGTAGGTGGGGCTTGACTTTTCTTTCTCTTTCTTGGACGCCCGGCGTTTGTAGGTGGAGCCTTTGAGGTCGTATTTCAGGTGCATCTTCACCACCCGGGGCAGGATGTTATTCATCACCACCACACGGATGTTTTTGCCCCCGGATTGGACGCAGTAGAGACCGTAGAACTTTGGCAGCAACGTCCGTGGATTCTGGTTCAGGTTCTGGGGGGAGATTTTAAAAGGGACATAGAATATGCTGGGCATTAAGACCTGATCTATATGCCTTCGAGCATCCGACTTTGCACTTGAGGTAATTAGGGCCCCTCCTGGAAAACTAACTGCATCCTTCAACATCTTCCACCCCTAGTTATAGGTCTTCTGAGGTTCCCTTTTTATTAGATATTTATCCTACTTTTATTATTACAAGTAACTCAGGGCAGCAAACATACCTAATATTCCTTCCTTCTCCTATTTTCCCCACAACAACTCTTGTGAGGTGGGCTGGGAAAGAGGATCTGGTCCAAAGTCACCCAGCCGTCTTTCATGCCTAAAGCGGGACTAGAACTCAGAGTCTCCTGGTTTCTAGTCTAACACCTTAATTTACTAGATCAAACTGGCTCCTATTCATTTGTCTATGGACATTCTCAGTCATCCAGGTCATGGTTGCCCCAAAGGTGCTTTTTCAAGAAGCATCTGGACTTTCTGGTTTCGCTTCTCACCCAAGAAACTTCTTCATCTCTTCTCAGTGCTGAAGAAGCTTCTTGGATGAGAAATGCAATGTCTTCAAAGAAAATCCAGAAAATCCAGTTGCCTCTTGAAAAAGCAGTTTTGGGACTCCTATTTATTTATTAAATTTATATGCCGCCCATCTCATTATTAACTGACTCTGGCTAGGCTGAAAGTCCTGTTTCTAGGAAAAGCACCTCACAGTTGCAGTACATTGCCTGGTTTCACGATCAGCATACACCAAATTTAGTTACTGACATGCATGTGTTTGCTGCCTATTCATACAACTCCAGGGCCAGAACATCCTAGAACATTCAATTCACATTCTGGGCCAGGCCAATTCATACATCTGTTCCTGGAATGATCTGGGGGTTTTCTGCATGTTTATTCTTCTGGTTTGGGATTAAATTCTGGAAAACTGGTTTCATCTTCATCAACAGGGCCTAATGGGGGAAACAGCAGTTCTACCCATGGTGGGCTTTGCCCGTTCTTCCTTTTCATGCAGATACATTTCCCAAACTTTTAAAAGCCAACAAGGAAGAGGGTCAGATACACACCATATAATAACCCGGAAGAAGTTTCTGGAGGAATTCTGCCTCTTTGTGCATCACAGTCTTGATGATGAATTCATCGTCGCTGGTGACATAGAAGAGGGAGCCACTGGCCCCAGGATTGGAGAGTTCGATCAGCGGCTCGTTGCACAAGGAATACTGAGAAGGCAAGAAGATTTCAACCACAGGTGGGAAACAAAGTCAGTAGGCTTCTCCCCACGTGCCCATCCCATCTGAAAAGCCCTGACCCATGCACTCCATAGGTCAGGGGTCCCCAACTTGTGGGCCTCGGCCCACTACCAGGCTGTGGCCTAATCCCCACCGGGCCACGTGAGTGGCCGGCCTGAGCATGGCCCCACTCGTGCAAGTCTCATCAGGGGCATCTGCGGCCCCACTCACACGAGCCTCATTGCGAGTACTTGTGGCCCCACTTGTGTGAGCATCGCCATGGACATTGTGGGCGCTCGCACACATGCCCCTGCTCCTCCCACAAAATCATCCCCTCTCCCCTTACCCCCTCCCCCAACCTGGAAAGGTTGGGGAACTCTGCCATAGGTTACTGGGCAATGCATCCTAACCCCAATTCAGGTAGTCCTTAACTTACAACCATTGGTTAGTGACCATTGAAAGTTACAACTGCACTGAAAAAAGTGACTTCGGACCAATTTTCACACTTACAGCTGTTTCAGCATCCCCCCAGTTCACACGATCAAAATTTGGGTGCTGGGCAATTGACATGTATTTATGACAGTTACACTATCATGGGGTAGTGCGATCATGATTTATAACCTGCCCAGCTGGTTTCTGATAGGCAAAGTCAAAGGGGGGAGCCAGATTCGCTTAACGACCACATGACTAAACAAGTGCAGAAATTCACTTAACTGTAGTAAAAAATATTTTAAAATGGGGTGCAATTCACTTAACAACTGCCTTGCTTAGCAATAAAAATTTTGGGCTCAATTGTGGTTATAAGTCGAGGACTACTTGTGTTTTTTTATTTGTAAAGGATGAGAAAGACAAGCAGATGGGCTCAATTGTGGTCGTAAGTTGAGGACTACTTGTGCTTTTTTATTTGCAAAGGATGAGAAAGACGAGCAGATCTTACCAAATAATCATCTGGACGAATGCCAAAAAGTTCTCGAAAATAGCGGAAAGCGACGGGTGCATATGTTTTGAACCTGAAGTCAGGATAATGGTGCGCTGGAGTGAGATTACTGCCTTCGCTAAATTTGGGGAAGACAGAAACAGATGCTTGCACTATTGAACAAGACACATACTTTCATTTCTGCTTTTTCTACAATTGATAATGAAATGCATCACTTTTACCACTGGTAAGATAAAGATCTTCCATTTTGGCTATTTGTTGTTTTTTGGGGGGAGGGTATAACTCGAGCTTACCTAAGGAACTGTTTCTCTCCCCCCCCTTCCCCCAGTTATTGGCCTGCCCCACTTGCACCGATAGAAGGGACATGCTGTGGACCCCATCAGTCAAGGAATTCTGGCATGCGGGGTCCAGACAAAGGGTGGGCATGATTCGTACCCTTCAGAACAGGGGTCTCCAATCTTGGCAACTTTAAGACTTGTGGACTTCAACTCCCAGAATTCTGGGAGTTGAAGTCCACAAGTCTTAATGTTGCTAAGATTGGATGCCCCTGCTTTAGAACATCACACCCCCTGAGGTGAGATCCGTTCCCACCCACGTAGCCTTCTGAAAGGGTCTTAAAACCTGGTTCTGACAATTGGGCTGGGGTCCCAATGGAAGTGTTCCATGTTGGAGGTAGTTAGTCCAGGGATCTCCAAGCTTGCCAAATTTTAAGACTTGTGGACTTCAACTCCCAGAATTCCTCAGCCAGCCAGCCAGCTTGATGGGGAGATGGGTGGCGTATTACATTTAATAAATAAATAAGTAAAATGAACTTTCTCTTGGCCAACTTCAGTTCCCTTTTCATGTAGCCCAGTCTCCCTTCCCATAGCAGGATATTACCTGGGAAAGAAAATGCTCTCCACTACGTAGAAATCTTGCATCAAAACATCCCTCTCAGGCTTGGAGCTCAGGTTTCCCACCGTATAGCCAATCCCCAGCTGGATTGCCCCCTTCAGCGTGGTTGACGTGGTCTGTGGCAGCCAACAAAGAATAGGTTGAGTTGAGTAAACTTAAGATGTCTACAGAGATTCTCATTCATCCAGGTCATGGTTGTCTCAAAGGTGCTTTTTCCAAAAGGCAAATGGACTTTCTTGGTTTTTCCTTTGAAAATGTTCTCATCCAAGAACGTATTTAGTTCTAACTGAAGTTAGAACTGAAGAAGCTTCTTGGATGAGAAGTGCTCTTCAATATCTTCATAAATGATTTAGCTGAGGAAATAGAAGGGGAACTCGTCAAATTTGCAGATGACACTAAGCTGGCAGGAATAGCCAACACCCCAGAAGACTAACTCAGTATCCAAATGGATCTTGATAGACTGAGCAATGGGCCCTATCCAACAAACGAAATTTAAGGTGGAGAAAAGCAAGGTTTTACACTTAGGCAAAAAACAACCAAAGGTACAAGTAGAGATTAGGCGAAACCTGCCTCAAAAACAGTAACTGTGAGAGGGACCTTGAAGTCCTAGTGGACGATCACTTAGATATGAGCCAGCAGTGTGCGGTGCTGGCCAAAAAAAGCTAATACTATCTTTGGTTGCATAAACAGTGGCATAGAATCAAAATCACATGAACTATTAGTACTGCTCTACAATACCTTAGTAAGACCACACCTGGAATACTGCATCCAGTTTTCGTCACATTACAAAAAAGATGTTGAAGCTTTGGAAAAAGTGCAGAGAAGAGCAATTAAGATGATTAAAGGCCTGGAGACTAAAACATACGAAGAACAGTTGCAGGAATTGAGTATGGCTAGTCTAGAGAAAAGAAGGACTAGGGGGTCCTTCTGTTCTCTAGACTACAAAGAAGAGGAGGTCGACTTATTTTCCAAAGCACCAGAGGGCAAGACAAGAAGCAATGGATGGAAACTGATCAAGGAGAGAAGCAACCTGGAGTTAAGGAGAAACTTTCTAACAGTGAGGACAATTAACCAGTGGAGCAGCTTGTCTTCAGAAATTGTGGGAGCTTCATCACTGGAGGTCTTTTAAGAAGAGACTGGACAGCTGCTTGCCTGAACTGGTATAAGATATCCTGCTTGAGCAGGAGGTTGGACTAGAAGACCTCCAAGGTCTCTTCCAGCTCTATTCTGATTGATTGAGAAGCAAAACGTTTTCATAGAAAAAACCAAGGAAGTCCAGTTGCCTTTTGGAAAAAGCACCTTTGGGACAAATTTATTTTATTATTTTATTAATTAAATTTTATTTACATACAGATTAAATTAACATACAGATCAGCCACTCTTCACTGGTTAGGAGCAACACTTCATAAACAGTCAATATGGTGTTGAAATGAAGTTGTTGGGCCAGAAAAAGGGAGACCCAGGTTTTAGTTCTAATATAAGGCTTTTCCTTCAGTTTTCATGTCTCCTGCCTCCAACTGTAGTCAGAGGGGATTTTAAAGGCCTCAGGAAAGTAGCCTTGGGCTTAATCACACAGCCCTCCTCCGTCTTATACCAAGACTCTCCAGAAGCAGGGATAGTTAATTTTTGGATAAAGCAGAGTCTGGAGGAGCCTGAGTCACTGAGTCAGTTCCAACTTTTTCCTTCTTATTTCCCCATCAGAACATCCACCCTCCAGGAGATCAGACCTTCTTGTACGTCGTTTCCCCTGATGCGTCAACTCCTCGGTGGCCTATCTTTTTTCCCTGGCTGGCTCCCGGCTGCCCTGTCAGCGATGGTGGCTGGAGAAGGAAGGAGATCAAAGCAAGCAGAGAAAAAGTGCAGAATATTAATTGTCGGTACAGAAGGAACGTTGAAAAGCTCTGTTAGATTAGCCCAAGTTTCATCTTGGTTCTAAGATCTCATTTCTCACAGGAGTCAAGCTGATCCCTTTCAGTGCTTACAAAGAGGAGTCTAAGGCCAAGCCTTCTGCCACCATTGTTCCTCTGCTCTGCCGCAGTATGGAGAAAACACGGATTCTTTAAAGCTGAAAACCTTTTGTAGACCTGTTCTTTATGCCATCTATGTTAACGGCCACCACGTCATCTTGTAGTTACAAATCCCACAAGCTAATTTGTGCTGTGTGAGGAACTGTTTTCTTCTACCCTAAATCTCCTGATCAGTTTCCATTTATTTAGAAAGAAAAATTTATCCTGGTTCTCTATGGAGATTCTCAGTCATCCAGGTCATGGTTGTCCCAAAAGTGCTTTTTTCAAGAGGCAACTGGACTTTGTTTTTCCTTGAAGACGTTTCGCTTCTCATCCAAGAAGCTAACTGGAAGGTAGGGAATGGAAGGATTTAGATTTCTTGCAGACTGCTTGGTCATTTGCATTCTTTTAGAGAGTCATTGAGTAAATGACCAGCTGTCTGCAAGGAGTATAAATCCTTCCATTCCCCACCATCCAGTCAGAGCTGAAGAAGCTTCTTGGATGAGAAGCGAAATGTCTTCAAAGAAAAATCAGAAAGTCCAGTTGCCTCTTGAAAAAAAACATCTTCGGGATATGCTGGTTCTCCTTCTCCATACCAGGCAAGACTAATAAACCATGTTCCTATGACAAGTCAAAGGACAACGGGAAGCCTGAGGGTCCAATGAGCCATTCTTCCTCCAAGGAAAAAGCCTAAGGTCCTCGGTAACCTACTGCAACAGGAAAATGCTGGATGCTTCTGTTCAGTTGGATTTCATGGTATTTCCAAACTCTGCATCCAGCAGGCTGGCCTTATAATAGTCTTAAAGCAGCTGGCAATCTTTAAAAGCCATTTAATCAATCGTTTAATAAAGCCACCACACTCCAAGTGGGGAAATAAGAAATGGCTTGGCTGGAAAAGGCAGCTTCAGCACTTTCTATAGGAGTGCTGCTCTTGCTGCTTCCTAAATAACGGTGAGTACTTCTTGTTATAATTATCTGCTATGGAGCCAGGAGCAAATTGCATCTAGGGGTTCATCAGGCAGAAGGCTTTGCATTCAATAGCACAGAGAGCAAGACTGATGCCATCCTTGTGAGGCAGAGCAGATTAAGAAAACGACTCCAGAGGAAAGCCCTAACTTTACTCTCCTGAAATAGACTATAGTAGGAGTCTCTAAACTTTAAGACCCGTGGACTTCAACTCCCAGAATTTCTCAGCCAATCCTAACTCAACGATCTGGTTGATCTCACATTAAAACAATGAGTCTATGGCTGGGTTCATATTAGGCTAAATCATGGATTATTAAATCCAACTCCACAAAGCCTTAGTCTTAAATTATGGCTTCAAAATCACAATGACTGGGTTCCTATAAACTGCTAAATTAGAACATAATTTGCCCCAAGTGCCATATCTAGTGTGCCCTGCTCCAGAAGTAGCTGGGATCAAGGTTTCTTTTTGGGGAGGGCTGGGAAATTAAGGAATGAAATAGCCTTGCACAGGTTTCAGGCATCCCTTTTGTTACTTAACCGCAAATTCTTCAAGTCCCCCCACCTCCCTATCTCCCCTCCCCATCTCTCCCTTTTGGGTACCCCTGCATACTGCCACCACTACCTATCCCTGCCGCCCCCTCCCCTGTGCCCAGAGGACCTCTGGCCCTTTGCAAGGCCTCTGCAACACCTCTTGAGGCCTCTGTAAGGCAGGGAGGGAGAGCAGGGCAGCCAAAGGGGCAGAGAGGAGGGGGAGATAAATGGGCGGGGGGCATGTGAAGTGCACATTGCAGTCATAAATATGGGCGGGCTGCCAAGCACCCAAATTTTGATTATGTGATCAGAGGTACTGCAACAGTTATTACTTGGAGGAGAGGATAACTACCATTCATTCAGCACTATCACCACTCACAGTTGCTCAACCAATGAATGGTTGTTCATTGGGAGTTCGCACCTCCCAGAAGTTGCAGGTGCTTCATCACTGGAGGTTTTTAAGAAGAGACTGGACAGCCACTTGTCTGAAATAGTGTAGGGCAGTGATGGGAAACCTTTTTGGCACCGAGTGCCCAAACCGGAATGTGTGTGTGTGTGTGTGTGTGTGTGTGCATGAGCGCAGCTGGAGCGCCGGAAACCTGAAGACCAGCTGGCTGGTGCGCATGCATGTGCCAGCCACCTGGTCTTCAGGTTTCCGGCATGCTCATGCGTGGCAGCCACCTGGTCCTTGGGTTTCCGGCGATCTGCCACGTCCAAAGACCAGCTGGCCAGAGCGCATGTGTGCGCCGGAAACCAGAAGAGCAGCTGGCGATGGTGTGTGTGCCCACAGAGAGGGCTCTGTGTGACACCTCTGGCACGCGTGCCATAGGTTTGCCATCATGGGTGTAGGGTCTCCTGCTTGAGCAGGGGGTTGGGCTAGAAGACCTCCAAGGTCCCTTCCAGCTCTATTCCAAATTTGAATTTGTTAAGCAAGAACTAGTTGTAGCAGGAAAAGATCTCTGTCTGTTTAAGAATAAATTACAATGCAAAGCTGCCATAAGCCTTAGAGAAAAAGAGGCTGGACCTAAGACAAATGACTTTTAAGTTTTCTTTTTAAAAGTTAAGATAATTCTTCCAAATCCTCTTGTTATAAAAATCAAACATTTCCCTAGTCTGGGGACACTAATGTGACAGATTCCCGCTCTCTGGTCTTCATCTCAGGAACTCTTCTACAACCTTTCCCCTTTTGTCATACCGGGGTGGAAAGACAAACTTTCCAGGGCACCAATCACTATTTATCATCTGTTACCTATTTGGAAGAGTTGCCTCATAGCCCTGTCATCTTTATGCAGCTCTACTCTAGGGCTCCTGACCCTTTCCCCAAGTCCGTTTCTCAGCAAATAGCTCGGTTAGCTGTCAAAGCTTATTGCTGATGACAAGCCTGGAACAATGATAAATCCAGCAAATAATAGAACTGCTTATGCACTGAAGTGAAAAGAGACAGCATACGCGTTTCTCTCTGACTCCAGGCAGTTAGGAACTCAGCCAGCGTAGCAGGCAGCCCTGCTTACGAAAATCCCTTTGTATAATAAGAGCAATTCTGACTCCAGACCTGTCCTTGTGCTCTATGCATACAGGCAGATATCTGAACGCAAGGCCATCCCTTGCAAACCCTTCCTCTACCCATTACTGGCTTATTTATTCTTATCATTTATCATTCTATGTGTGTACAGGTAGTCCTTGACTTATGACCACAGTTGAGCCCAAGATTTATGTTGCTACACGAGACATGCCTTGTGAGTTATGCCCCTTTTCTTGACAGCACTAGCAATATGGACAGCACTTAAAGAGTTACAGTAATGGCCAAAATTGTGGAAACCTTTTTGGGAAAAGTGTATTTTTGAGGTTTGATGGCTAATAACACCATTTATTTATTTATTTGGATTTTCAAGATAATCCTATTCCACTGTTGGAATGGCCTGGGAATAGCCCAGACCTTCTTAACCCAATTGAAGACCTATGGCACCAACTAAAGAGCAAAGGAAATGAAGGAAATGCAGGCAGAAACGAGGCTGCAGAACCGGAGTGCGTGTAAGGTTAGGAAAAAATCCTCACAAGCCTGCACTGCCAAGTCTTTTTGTTTCAAATGTTAGATCTCTCTCTAATAAGAACTTACTATCTCTCTCTAATGGAACTTACTATCTCTCTGCAGAAAAACATTCGGGACTGCTGTGTTATGGCTTGACCCTACCATTCCAGGAGAGGCTACTGAATTGCAAGGATGCTCAGTTTATCAAGTGGATAGAACCATGGTCTCTGGGAAGAGCAACTGGAGCACAAATGTTAAAATAATGGACACTCACTGTTCTCCTGATTTGGAATACTTGGCAGTGAAATGCCGCCCCTTTTATCTGCCTCGTGAATTTAACATTGTAATAACAACTGCAGTATATATACCTCCTGATGCTAACACGACCACAGCCATGAATCACCTGTTAACTGCTATTAGCAAACAGCAACAGGCCTACCCGGATGGAGTGCTGGTGGTTGCAGGTGATTTCAATCAAGCCAACTTTGATCTGCTCCGGAGCCGAGCCGAGAGGATTGAGGGGGGTGAGTGCGACAGGCAGGAGACAGTTGGGAGAACCGCCGGCACCATTGTTACCATGACGGTCACGGCCGTGGTCGATTCCATCGAGACCGTGGCTAGCCTTGTTATGGACCTCGAACCCCCCTGGAGCTTGCTGGAACTTACGGCTGATACCATCGAGGCCAGGCTGCCCTCCCCTTTTGAGGAGTTTGGAGCTCTTTGGTGCTTGTGGGAACTTTGCAGTTTCAGAGAGGACATGATGCCAGATTTGACTATTGGAACTGGAGGGATCCTTCCTTGGGTTGTAATAGGAGAATGGGAAACTATGTGTGGCTCCTTCCGCAGACTTTTACTGCCGGGTTGACCAAATCTGTTTTGAAGTTTAGACCATACTCTCATTGTGGCCTGATATACTAACTATCTGGGTGAAGTGTATACATGTGTGTGTGTGAGTTTGTTTTAGACTGATTAGAATTCAGAATTCAGTTTGTTTTAAAACAGGAGGAGTGAATTGGGGGGACTGAACTGTAGAGAATGAGGGAGCCGGGGACAAAGAATGGAGCCTCCTCTGCTGAGTGCGCAAGCAGAAGCAGATGGGGGCCCAGATATGACCCCCGGCTCGGTACGAATAAAGTGCCTTGCCTGCCAGGGAAGACGGGGGCCGATGGGGAGGGCGAGGGGGTCTCTGGGGAGATGGAGAGCCTGAATATTGAGGTTATGACTGGGAGAGGTAGATATGACGGGAGCCGAGGGGTAGGCCGCTCTCAGGGAACTAAGACTCGCTATG